GATAGCCGACAATATGCAAAAAGCCATTAATGCCTTCAGAAAGACTTGTTTTGGTCATCAAACAGAACATTCGCTCCATTGCAGACAATGAAAGAGCAATCGCTAATTGGGTGATATCGCTTGTAGTCATGATCATCAAATAATGCACAATAATGGTCTTACAATCATCGTCAACTATTGGAGACAGACCAGTCAATTGGGATCTATTTTTATATGAGAAATCTACAATGAGCAATGTCATCCCTTTGATATACACTGAATATAAAAAAGGCAATATCAACATGTTATCTTAATGACCAATTTCTTTTTTAATACGGTACTATTTTTTTCCATAGGTTATTCAATGCCCCTCTAAAGTGTTGGGAGTAGCTGGAGCCCCAAATTCGCCAAAAATTTGATGGCAAAATATCACTTAAATTGTATCATAATGTGAAAGTTCATGTAATTTTAGACACAATTCTGCAAAGAATACATAATTCAGGTTTCCTGTTGTACGCAGAAAACCTTAATTTGGTATTCTTTCATCTAATGACATCCTCTTTCACTTGATGATTCAATTAAAGTGAAATTTTACCATCAAATTTTTGGGGCTCACAACACTTTAGAGGTGCTTTAAAATCTTTTAGTCTAAATTGTTAGATTTGATCTGGTCTGATAGGAATGTGATTTAAAGGAGGGAAGCTGTATCCCTCTCTTTAATCCATATCAAAGACCCTTAATTACTTCCTGGATAGCCCTAACTGCCTATTAAGAAGCTTTGATCTTTTCTTCCTTCAAATAAATCTTCATTTATTGCTTATAATCCGACTTTGTTCACTAGACTAGAAACATTCAAGTTTAAAGAAGCTTGTTTGAGTTAGCGTTTACCAATTCAGATAGGTGTGCAGTGAACTATCACACAAACCTTGCTGCCTTTACACTGCAAACAATAATTATTGGGTTTTCTGACATTGTTGTGTTTCGTCATACATGTAAGTTGCTAAGCAATTACCCACAAAAGATGATAAAGTTAAACCCATACCGAAATACCCACCTGGCCACTTTCAGCTCTATGTACATGTAGAGAGTGTTTTTTTGAAAATTAATGCTGGCAGAAACTTCCCTGTTTTATGCAATGTAAACGTTCCCTCTCAGAACACTGTTAAATCATACCGGTTTTCATTAACGCGACTCTCTGCACTTTCATGCAATTGCATGCAGAACAAGTCACACAGGTGCACTATACTCACCAACGATTATTAAGTGTGAAATTTGAGATTTTAATTCAATTTTGTGAAATCTCCACCATATCCGTGCAAGATTGCATTTACAGATCATGAAATTACTTTCTTTCCATTGATTAAGCACATTCAAAATGTCTACTATTCAGGGAACATTTCAGACACGATTTGCTATGAATGGGTCTAATAAAGCATGGCACTAAATCTAATGAGGTGTGAATGGTATTTCTTCACAATCACTCACATTTGATTCTAGCTGCCAGACTCTTACATTTCCTGACTAATGATTATAATGTACTCGATCACATACTGCACTCAATCACATAGACTGGATGGCAGTTTACATTTATTACCTGGAAGGGGAGGGGCAGGTGACATTCATTGAAATCACCCAAAAGCCAGACGTTGAGCATTATGAACAGTTAAGGCCTTGATAAGAAAAAAAACCCATTTTGTATCTGAATTTGTTGAAATATTCACTTCAAAAGACAATTATTTGAAGTTGAATTGTATGGCAGTAGGGGGGGGGGTATTAACATTAATCAATTTCCAAGATTGATCACTTTTTACCCTTTTATACAAGAAAAAACACCTTGTATTCACTTCACTACAGCTAGCATACATGTGAAAAGGCGATAACATGAAGTGCACATATATTGTATTTAACGGGAGAAGGGATAAGGGTCTAAAATCTTAACATAAACTTGTGCACGATGGTAAATGATGAAAATCAAACCTTTACAACAAAAAACGAATGAAATGTCCCTGGCTACCAGCTGAAATGTAAATCCAATTATGTACATTGACATTAGTTTGAATAACATTCATGTAAAAAGACAACATTTGATTTTTTTTTCTTCAATTGAAGGTTATAATGGGGGGGGGGGGGGTCTTTCCATTAATCAAATGTGCCTGAAGCCCAGGAATAATAAACAAGCATATAAACATGTCCATGGTTCCTGATAATTAAGCTGTCAAATTAAATTCCCCACTCTTTAATTTTGTGGTAACATTCGTGTAGAAAGGCACTCAAGTGGAATACATCCTTTCATGTATGCATTCACCAAGACACAGAGTGAGTGCAGAATATCCTACCAGTGGTTGCAAGGGAAGGGAGTGGTGGTGGTGGGGGGGGGGGGGGGGGGTAACAGAGTTGGATGTATTCTCTTATTCTTCAAGACACTGGCAATGTATGGCTCTAGCTTTAATTTATTGGCATAGCTACATGTAGCATGGCTGTACTTTTTTTCACTACTAATGTCTAAGCTCTCCCAATACAGTGTGTGTGCTTACAAAGAACCCCCGCATCCAACTTCTTCTACGCATCACATTTAAAAGCCACATAAAGGGGGATTACCTTATGCACATAATCTCAACATACCAGTCAATGTCTACAAGTGTTACTCATTGACTCATGGATAATCTGAAATGGGTGTCTTGAATTATAGAAGGGGTTATGGTGAAAACTTTGAGCTCTTCAGCTACAATGTGATAACTGATAAAGGACACTCATTACATTCATTTAAAGATAAAGTTGAGTTCTGGTCATGCCATTGCATTGTGATAGAAAAGGTGTGGAATGGATCAGAAAAAGTTGATCATCTAGCATATAAGTATTGGTGTGTACTGCAAGGTTCTGGAGTCATCAAAATCATAACAAATTTGACCCAGTCTTGGTAAAGTAACAAGCACTGTACACAGAAAGATGTATATGGGACTACACAAATGGTGTCGGGGGGCTACTAACTGTGATTTCCCTATCTTTCGATGCTCATTATCAGCCAGTATACATTTTCTACCGAAATTGTTTGGCAAATGACATTTATTTGTACTCTGTAAGTTTCGTTCGATTCTGTGAGAATTCCTTATCTTTTTTATAAACCAGAACTCAAGTTTATCTTTAATATCTGTCCAGAAGCAGAAGGCTACCAGTAATCATCTCTGTGAGCAAGTATGGAAATAATGTCCTTCTGGCTCCAAACAGAACATCATTTTTTCAACTAAACCTCCCCCAATGCACCGGCTCACCTGCCCCCACATGAATGCCTTCATAAGTCACAGGGCAATTCCTCAAACCATGCAAAGAAAGGCTAATCTGTTCATATTTTAAAAAAGTATTTTATCTCTACTGTCGAGATTAAAAGAATCATGGTTCGATCATACCAAGTAGATACATGTTATTAGACCCATGCATGGTTTACTGATACCAATTTACCTTTTCTGTGTATTTGTTACAACCACCTGTTGTCGTCTGTATTTAATGTAATAACTCCTTGGTGCTACCATATGGACACTAATAAATGAAAGTTGAAACCTTCTGTGGTTTTAGTCTACATTCATGTAAAGTCCCACACAAAACAAAAGTGGTCTCACATGGTTGAGGACTTGAGCTGCACTATTAGATTTTATTCCAACCACAAAATGGCTGCCAAGATGGCTGACATGCAGTCCATCCAACAATAATAACCAATCACAAGATTGGACAATAAGTAAGTAACCAATAGAAAAACTTGTAAAAGATAGAGTGCCATGTGCCATGTGTGCTGGGTTGAATAGCTAAGAGATAAGGAAGAGTGTGTATGTGTGTGGTGCTATAGCAGGTAATGTGCATGAGGATGAATGAATAGGGACAGAACAATAGAAGCCAAGAGCTAGCAGACAGGAGAGAATGAATGTAGGTCAGGAGTGCGCTAAAGCATATCGGAGTGGAAAGCTAAATGTACAGTGTAAAATAAACAAGTAACCACTTGGGTCAGTGAAATTAAAACCTTACATAATATACCATCTTCACAGAAAAATGTCCTCATTTTAAAAGATACATCGTATTAACATGCATTTGTTTCCGAAGAAAATGAGTCACATAAAATTTGCTTGAAATACCTGAACACATCAAATCATGAAGTTTTCCTTCTGTACAATTCTCTCTTTCTTTTCCTTTTTTTTTTCATAAGGAACAGCATCTATTCATATTAAGGAAAATTAAACTGTTTAACTTGAAAGGTCACACATATAGCAAATACAAAAAAATGGTATGCTTTCATCAATGAACATCTTTCAAGCAACGTCCTAACTTCAATGGGTTCTATCCTTTTTCACCCTGAGAATTCCAGTCGGATGATTTGTAGACATAAACATTAAATAATTTCCTTTTTTTCCTGTTTCTGTCACAAATGACAAAATATCAAATACTTCATACCCAATTTGGCAATTTTTAACAAAAACTATAAACAAAATACATGGCAATGTCTTCACCTAAAGAAAAAAAAAAAGTATCACTGTTTCGTGAATCGCTGTTAAAAATTCTTTTTAAATAAGTTAGCCAATTGAATAATGAAATACAATGTACACAGATAATATGCATGCATTCTGACATAACTCTTTCAAAACCGTCTCAGATTTAAGGAGACATTATACAAATACAGTGTCTATGGTCGATAAAATCTCAACTACAAATGATTTATGTAACGAAAAAACATATTTTATGAATTCATGTATCGATGATGTTTTAAATCCAAATATCCATAAACATCAATATAGGTCAAATGACTAAAAATAATGTTCAGAAAACAATGTAAACATGTACTTAAAATCAAATAATCCCATCAATTTTTGTCGTTGACACATTTATATAGTCCTTTTTGTAAAATAATGCAGGTCAACCCTGTGACCAATACAATCTGAATCTCACATTTTTTAAACTTTTTTTTTCTTCTTAAAATTGAGCACAATTGCAAAATTGCAATCAAAATTGACATTTTAGTCTTTTTTCTTCTTTTAAAAAAAAAAAAAAAGATGGGCGCATTGAGGAGTTCACCCAATTGACGTGTAACTAACAAATTTGATGGAAAAACACATGACAAAATGCTTGAAAGTTTGTCTTCTTTTTCCCGTCTAAACATTAAAAACTGACAATTTAATCCTATCTTTACTGAAAAGTCCTACAAAAATATCATAAATCTTCCAAAACGTTCCCAAATCAACAATTCCCTCAATAACATATTGTCACGAACAATGTAGCAATGCAAGGTATGACAGAGAAAAGTTAAAATCAGCATGTCTTCCAATTATCTATCACTATTGCAAACATTATTCCTCGAAAGTCTTTACAGTTCGTAATCTTGAAACTTGGCGGGTACTTTAACCTGTCGACCAGATCTCGAACGTGCGGATGAGGACGGCTGAGGTTGGGGTTGGTCAGCGGATGAAGACGGCTGATGTTGGGGTTGGTCAGCGGATGAGGACGGCCGATGTTGGGGTTGGTCAGCGGATGAGGACGGCTGATGTTGGGGTTGGTCAGCGGATGAGGACGGCTGATGTTGGGGTTGGTCAGCGGATGAGGACGGCTGATGTTGGGGTTGGTCAGCCGATGAGGATGGCTGAGGTTGAGGTTGGTCAGCAGATGAGGACGGCTTAGGTTGCTCAGCTGATGAGGATGGCCAGAGTTGGGATTGGTGAGTCGTCGACCTCAGTTGATATTGGGGTCTGAGTTGAAGTTGGCCAACCGGCGAGAACAGCTGATGTTGGGTTTGGGTAGTCGGCAGGGATGGCCTAGGTTGTTGCTGAGGTGGGGCTGAGTCAATTAGCCTGGATTGATGGCTAGAATTGGTTGGCTGGTTTGATGCTTGTTGCCGAACAGACAAAATTGACCGTGATGGTTGGTCATGGTCTGACTGTCGGTGATGGAGGATGCGTTCTGTTGAACTGGTTGGCTGGTTTGAGGCTTGTTGCCGAACAGACAAACTTGACCGTGATGGTCGGTCATGGTTCGACTGCTCGTGATGGAGGATGCGATCTGGTGGTCGAGACGACCACGTGATGTAGGCTGGTCCATGGCTAGTAGGATGATTTGACTGCACCTTTCTCCTATTCTCGTCTTCTGCTGGGGGACCTGGTGGGTACTCTGTCGTTGTCCTCTCAGTCCCATGTATTGACGTAGGCTGTGGGGTTGGTGGGGATGGTGGAGTTGACATCACTTGTGGGGCTCTAGCTCGATGCGGTTTCAAACGATTATGATGGACCCGTCGCTTGAACTTTTCATCATGGACATGAACTATGTCATAATTTAGTCCATCATCTGATGAGGAAGATACTCTGAAAGGACCTTTCCAGTTTGGTTCAAGTTTGTTCCTGATGTTGGTTGGGTCATGTAACCAAACAAAGTCACCTGTGTCATACTTTGAAATGCGTTTCTTCACATCATACTGTCGTTTCTGTTGTTGCTGTTGCTGTCGTGTATTTTGTATGGTGTACTCCCATGCTTTTCTCAATCGCTCAGACAGGTTGGTTGTGTATTCGAGGAGTGTCTTGCCAGATGACGATGGAGGGGGAGTTGAACAGGTGATGTTCGCAGGTGTACGGGCTTCCCTGCCATGCATGATGTAGTATGGCGTCAAACCTGTTGAGGCATGAGTACTTGTGTTGTACGCTAACTGGACTTGATTGATGTGAGTGTCCCATTCTCCTCCTTGATGAGAAATGTACTTCGCAAGTTGATCTTTGATGGTGCGATTACAACGTTCGACTATGCCAGCTCCTTGGGGATGATAGGGTGTCGATCTAGACTTTTTGATGCCCAATTTGCTGCATAGTTCTTGCACTAATCTGGACTCGAACTGTCGACCTTGGTCTGTGTGCAAAGTCTCTGGAATACCATGCTCTTTCACATATTCTTCGAACAAATGTTTGGCGATGGTTGGAGCAGTCTGATCTTTCATTGGGAAGATATTGACATATTTGCTGAAATGATCAGTCACAACGAGTATATAGCGAAATCCTCGTCTTGAACTTGGAAGCTCAGCAATGTCGGCAAAGACCATCTCCAAAGGACGAGTAGTGGTAATGGGACGTAAGGGTGCTTGATGCTTAGGGGTTGGTAACCGGAAGGACTCGCAAGCTGTGCATGTGTTGCAGAAATCAGTGATTTCCTTGTTCATGAAGGGCCAATAGCACATTGACTCTGCTCTCTGTATTGTGCGATGAGCGCCGAAATGTCCGGATGATGGGTCACCGTGTAACTCTTGAAGTACCCTTGGAATGAGGGAGTTTGGTACGACAAGTTGGAATGAGAGATTACCAAGCTTGTCTTTCTTCTTCCTGTAGAGTATACCGTCTTGGAGGATGAATTTGGGATACTGCCACAAGAGACGTCTAACCCGGGGGTTGTGTCTACGGATCTGTCGAATGGTTGGCCGCTCACCATTGTTGACGCATTCGATGACTGTACTGATGTCTTGATCTAGTTGCTGTTCATGTTGAACATCTACATCACTGTCAAGGATTACACCACGATAAGGATGAAGGACGTTTGGTGCAGACCGCCTCGTTGAATCATTGGGAGTAGATGCGTCTGTTGATAGTCGTGATCTTGATGAACGAGTCTCGACTGCATTACACAGTGGATTGGTCACCATGTGCTTGAGTAGCTGATCCGTCAATCTTGGAGTGACTTGGCTTTCTTGACTCGGGCGTCTAGATAATGCATCTGCATTTCTGTGTGATTGTCCTTTCTTGTGAATAAGGCTGAACGTGTAGGAATTGAGTTCCAATATCCATCGTGTTCTCTTCCCAGTTGCATCGTCTTGAATTGGGAACTTCCTGAGAGCCAAAAGAGGTTTGTGGTCTGTCAGGATAGTGAAGTGTTGGTGTCTCAGATAATGACGAAAATGGCGAACAGCTGTAACAATTGCCCAGAGCTCTCGATCATAGGTAGACCATTTCTTCTGCGTAGCGCTGAGAGTTTGGCTGAAGTAGGAGATTACACGTTCTTTACCATCTTGAGTCTGCGAGAGGACAGCACCAACTGCATGAAGGGATGCATCCGAAGATAGGATGAACTCCTTTTCAAAGTCTGGATAGGCGAGGAGAGGTGGATTGGTTAGAGCTTCTTTCAGATGTTGAAAAGCCTTTTCACACTCTGCTGTCCATACAAACTGTTGACCTTTTTATGTCAGGGTCGACAAGGGAGTTGCAATCTTAGAGAAACTCGGCACAAAACGTCGGTAGAAAGATGCCAAGCCAAGGAAGGATCGGACATCAGTCGGTGTCCTCGGCTGAGGCCAGGACTTGACTTTCTCAACGTTGTTTGGGTCAGGTTTCACTCCTTCGGTGTTGATTATGTGGCCAAGATACGTAACTTCTTTCTTGAAAAAGCCACACTTTGAGGGTTTAAGTTTGAGTCCAGCATCTCTGAATCGTTGCAATACTTCTTGGAGGTTCTTGCAATGATCATCGAAGTCCTTGCCCATGACTATGCAGTCATCAAGGTATACCAGGCATGTAGACCAGTGGAGGCCATGTAGAACGGCTTCCGTGAGACGCTGAAATGTCATGGGAGCGTTGACCAGTCCGAATGGCATGACAGTGAACTGGTAAAGCCCTGTGCCTGTGGTAAAAGCAGTCTTCTCTGTATCTTGGGGATCGAGCTTGACCTGCCAATATCCACTTGATAAGTCCATGACGCTGAAATATGCTGATGAAGAAAGGGAGTCAATTGAATCATCTTGGCGTGGAATAGGGTGAGAATCTCGAACAGTTACTGCATTGAGTTTTCTGTAATCCACGCAAAATCTGTATGTGTTGTCCTTCTTCTTCACCATGACGATTGGGCTCGCCCATGGGCTGAAGCTCTCTTCAATGATGCCTCTTTGCAGAAGTTCGTCCACTTGCTCCCGAATTTCCACTCTCATTGCTGGTGAAGTTCGATACGCCCTCTGTCGTATTGGAGTAGCTGTGGTAGTGTCAATGTGGTGATGAATAATGTCAGTCTGACCAATATCCTGAGACGTCGTGCTGAAAATATCACTGTAGGTCTGAAGAAGATGTTCAGCTTTCTCGTACTCTGTCCTCGTGAGTTCTGAAGAAGGGAGAACACCAGCAACTGGTGACTTGTCCGTCACTTGTGGATCAGCGTCAGTAGTTACGCTCATGATCTTGTATTCCTCTTCAATATCCCCAGTAATGGAGAAGAATTGACCAAGGCAGGTGTCTGCAGGTAGATCGACTGCTTCGTCAGAGGGATTAATGAGGCGTACTAGAATAAGACCATCTTGAGGCTTGAACAGAGATCTGGCACCGATAACAGGAATGTGATCTTGCAACGTTGGTTCAAAGTAGCCATCATAGTCTCTTGGTATGATGTCGAACTGTGGCGACGACAATCTTCCCTGGACGTGAGTTTCACAGCTTGGGGGAATCCGAGCTTGTCCAACAAGAGAAACTTTACATTTCAGCGGGGCTTGGTATTGCTGACGATCGATGAAGGGAATAACATTTCCAGGCATGTTGAACGATGTTGGCGATATGCAGGCATTCTGGCTGTCAATAAAGTCCCATCCAAGGACAACTGAATGAGTGATGTTGCGTGCAACAACAAACTTGTGTTGTGTAGCCTTGTTCCCTAAGTGCAGAGATGGTACGATTGTTCCAATGTTGTCTACCAGCCCACCTGTGATAGTAGATGCCATGGATGTCAACTTTTCCAACGGGCTCCTTTGCGATGCTGGAATGGATGACAAAAATTTGGCACTCAACAGAGAGATGAATGATCCACTATCTACGAGTGCCAATACATAGACATTGTCGATAACGATAGGGATGTAGGGCGATTTCTTTGGCGAAATAGGTGCTATTCGTATTGGGACCTTGGTTTGTGTAGTTGATGAATGGCCCTCTTCCTCAACTACCAGAAGTTTCCCTGCTGCTGGTCTTCAAAACGAACTTGACGATAGGGAGCCTGTCTATGGGAGTCAACTTGATAACCTGCAGTGGAAGGATGCTGCTGATTTCGGCTGCTAGACGATTCATAGGGCCGTCTAGAGGGTGAAGTCCTAGATTGATATGCGTAGCTCCGATTAGGGCTTGGAGATATGCGTCTTGCATATTCAGGAGATCTGCGTCCTGCATATTCCGGAGATCTGTGTCTTGAATATCCTGGAGATCGGTGTCTTGCATATTCTGGAGATCTCTGTCTTGCATATTCTGGCGACCTGTGTCTTCGGTAGTCACGGCTTGGTGACGGAGACCCACAACGTTCCATGTGTCTTCCCTCATGGGAGCGTCCTGATGGGCTGCCACCACGTTGCTGAGATCTGCTAGGCCTTTCAACTGTCTCTAACTTTAAAGACATCCTATCCAGCTTCTTTTCTAACTCGTTGAGTCTTGGCAGTAGTAGTCGTAAGACTGATGATTCTGCAGGCGTCTTGTCCTGGACCCGATCATCTACAGCTGCTACTATACCAAAATCGTGTGCTTGGTGTGCTCTTTCTACACGAAGTGCGATCTTCAAGGCCTCGTCAAAATCAAAGCCTCCGAGCTCGTGAATCTTCACTTGAAGCGGCTTGTCTACCCCGGCAACAAATCAGCGAAATCTCTCACCACCTTTTGCATTGTCATCATAGGACGGGAAAGCCTCTTCCACTAAGGAAGCAATGGCTGATGCAAACACCTCTAACGGCTCACCTGGTTGGCGAGTTCGGGCAGTAATACAAGACTTGAATGTGTCAATAAACTGTGTCCGGCCGAAAACCTGAGAGAGGTTCTCTTTCATCTTCTTGAAATCCTTCTTGTCCGAAGCAGACAAGCTCTCCCACACGATGAAGGCTGATCCTGCTAGTCTTGCCGGAAGGAGGGTGGTCAAGTTGATAGAAGTGTCCGAAAACGCCTGTGCAGCAACTTCAAATCGACGTATCCATTGACGGAAGTCTTTGCCGTTCTCTCCCGTAAACACTTCTGGCAATTCCATGCGATAAGATGCCATACTGTAGGAGTTATAAGCAATCGACTCAACAGATATGATCATCAACAAGATATCAACCCAGTAAAACTTACTGAATGAGTCAATGTGAAGGAGGGGGGGGGGGTGGGGGGTCACTCTGAGTGCAGATGAAGAAAATGCAAACTCAACAGTTGAAATATCTGTGGCGAGCGGCTATGATGGAAGGAGGGTGTATTCTGCAACTGGTTACGTTGCTACGCCAACACTATGTAGAATATGCAGGTTGATATGGCAGAATGCTGTAATGTACGGCAGCCAAAGGCAGACTATACATGCAAACTGGATGTGAGAAGTTGCTTGAAAAATACAGAACTGTATGAAGGGTGAAGAAAAAAACCTCAGTCACCGATGAAGGATGAATGCAGGAATATTCACCAAAATACAGCTCCAGTATGAAGAAGGGTAAAGGAAATCTCACTTACTGATGAAGGATGAATGAAGGAATTCACAAAACTACTGATGTAGGAAGAAATCAAGGCTCAAAAAGTCAAGATGAAACGTCAGTAATTAATGAAGGAGGCTGAATACACACAAACACTAACTGCCTCAGCTTAAAATGAAGGGAGGTCAATCAGTGCAGAAGAAGGGTGATATCATGCTCTCAAACATTCACATTCATATACAGATGGAGGGAGAATTTCACTTTGCAACTCACCACTAAAAACACTGCAGGAATTTCTACATATGAAGGAAGGCTGCAATTACAGTTTAGTGCAGAAAAACCACTGCTGGCACCAGTTGTAAAGTCCCACACAAAACAAAAGTGGTCTCACATGGTTGAGGACTTGAGCTGCACTATTAGATTTTATTCCAACCACAAAATGGCTGCCAAGATGGCTGACATGCAGTCCATCCAACAATAATAACCAATCACAAGATTGGACAATAAGTAAGTAACCAATAGAAAAGCTTGTAAAAGATAGAGTGCCATGTGCCATGTGTGCTGGGTTGAATAGCTAAGAGATAAGGAAGAGTGTGTATGTGTGTGGTGCTATAGCAGGTAATGTGCATGAGGATGAATGAATAGGGACAGAACAATAGAAGCCAAGAGCTAGCAGACAGGAGAGAATGAATGTAGGTCAGGAGTGCGCTAAAGCATATCGGAGTGGAAAGCTAAATGTACAGTGTAAAATAAACAAGTAACCACTTGGGTCAGTGAAATTAAAACCTTACATTCATATCCAATAGGCCTGTTTTCATCAGCTCGAGATTGCCAAATAACCCGCTATTTTCAGACTCGGGATATTATCCCTAAGCTCAAAATTGCGCCTTCACCAGACCGATACGCCCATCACAAACTATACATGTAGCTCGGGCGGGCGCAATTTAGCCCGCTATTTCCCAAAAAGCTGGATATTTTGGAAACAAGACCAAGATTTCTCTGGATATTTTTGTGACCAAATATCCCGCTTATTGCAACTGCGGGCTGATGAAGACGCAAATTAGCTGGATAATTTGCAATCAGGATAGTTAAAATAGCGGGTTATTTGGCAAACTCAAGCTGATGTGGACAGGCCTGTTGTCTCTTTGCATTCACCTGTTGTCCAACCATCCATAAAATGCTCTGAAATTGGAAATAAATTTATGAGACCAAGATTTCATTTCTGGATCATGTGACTAGCTACCCCAGCATGATTGGCAGTGACCTTTGACCTTCATGTTCCCCTGACTACCATGTGAAGGTATGTGTGTTAAATTAGCAAGGCATTTGGCGATAACCTGTGACATTCTGCAAGTTTCGATTCAACCATGCAAGATTTCTGCCCTTTTACAGAAGAAGCCAAGATAGGCCTAATGTAACCCTTGCAGGTACCAAAAACATTTACACACAGTCACAAGTAATTATTGCATGTGATATTGTCTGCTTATATAGAGCCAGAAGGAGGTTAACTTTGTAAGCTAGCTCTCACTTGTGTGTGAATAAAAGCAAGATAACAGCGCTTATCTAGGAGTAAGATTTGGATCACGATCTAAATCTCTCTAAATTATTTGTGTGTGTGTGTGAATTGGCCTATTATGGGACATGAGAACCGATCAACTGTGAAACATTAAAGGCTTGTCCTCCCTTATCTCACATGAGTGTAAAGCTAGAGCATTATAAACCCTCTTAAATCTGAAATATTCGCAAAATTCCTGAAGCTTCATACACACAACAGACTGGTTTCACAGTTGTTTGATATATCTTCAATGTTGAGAGCCAGAGAGGTGTTAAAGGTAAAGACCAGTATTGGAAATGCCCCAATTTCAAAAAATGAAATGGAAGTTCTAATATTACCAATCATGTAAAAGAATATGTTTTGACTAATACATGATGATAAAAATGTTGCTGGGAAACCGCCTACTCATTGATATATTTGGTAAATTAGTTTATCTACATGTATTGGCCTGTGAGAGATAGACGCACGTGTCGCGCATGTGTGCGTATAGTCCCAAATACATCTTTCTGTGTACAGTGCTTGTAACTTTACGAAGACTGGGCCACATTTCTTATCATTTTGATGATTCCAGAACCTTGCAGTACATCTATGCTAAATGATCAACCTTTTCTGATCGATTTCACAACATTTCTTTCACAATGCAATCTCATGACCATACATTTGTAACTGGTCTTTATCTTTAAATCTGTGTAAAAGCTTATGAGTTAATGCCCTTCTGGCTCCAAACAAATGATCTAATGCTTATGAACGATCCAGGGTTTGGGGTATAATAATTGCCTTGAGTTGGTCATATTTCTGTCTGAACTAAATCAAAAGTGAATCAAATTGATATTGACCTGTTTTGGAAGCTATCGAAAGTCATTTCATCAAATTCTATAGTGACTAGTGTCACCCAAGTTGTTACAAACTGTCACTTATAATCTGTCTGTTTGGGGCCGGGTGTTAAGTCAAGCTTTTCTGTCTCCAAACAGACATATTGTGATTATTGCAGACATTCTCATCTGAGGAACATCCTTTATACCATGGACCTACAAGAGACTGTTGATCTTTAAACATTTGTTTCTTCTAATGAGATCCTGATGATTTTTAACTCTGTCTTTAATAATGCACTTTAACAGTAACACCCTTCTGGCTGTCTACAGTTGATTTGAAATATCTGTTTTTACTTTTAGTAATTCTATGGGCCAATAGAAATTCACTACATTAGAAGCATGTATATTGTTACCCATGAATCAAAATTGTTCTGTATGAGATCACAATTACAGACATTCCGTTTGAAAAATTCTGCAAACTGCAACATTTTGTGACCTTATTTTGGCAGTTTATATATTTTGTGAATGGATACAAATGTCAACAGCCTACAATGGTCCAGACAGTGGCCAAGTGGTGTAGAAAGGATCTTATCTCTATAATATGTGACAGAGATATCAAAGGATTATTTAGGAAGATGTTATTAAACATGTATTGGTTCAGACTAGAGAAATTTTTATATGAAAACCGTACAAAAAACATTGTTTAAAGAATCATTGTTGTTGTGAAAGGGGCATACAGACTAGATAAAAACATTGTATAAAGAAATGTTTAACATATAAGGAAACTAGTTTTGGAGAGGTCAGCTGACATGATAATTGGCCAATCATCAAGGAGTGCTGACGTTATAAGCCCTTCCCAATTATGATTTTTGTACGATAAACATTCCAACTAGGAAGGGACCCTGCCTTTATTGAGTTCCGTTTGAAACGATGCTTTAACG